CCGCTGTAAACTGCAGTACAAGTCATTACACGGTAATTAGATAGCCAAAAATCTACGACTGGGTCGTACATTTGCCCCCCAACTCTATACGATATTGGAAGTATACGTACGCACGATACAGAATTGACATGGTTGGATATACCATTCCTACCTATTTATTGTAGGGTACTATTCATATATATATATATATATATATATATATATATATATATATATATATATATATATATATATATATCATACGTCATTGTATTGAGAGCTCTGAGAATACAAGGTACAATTATGCAAATTATATTGCAAGGAACAAAGATGTCACTAGTTTGGAATAGTAGGAACCCCATGTAGATTCAGTACCAGATCTACACAAGGATCTAGTCAGAACTCTGGAATTCTTGTGAACTCACATGATAATCTTTAATCTTATTTTCTTTATTCATACACATACACACTTATATCTTAAGAGTACACCTATTTCGTGCACTACTACTGTCTACATATACTAGCATCAATGACTATTTCCTGCTTGTATGTAGTATGAGCTGGTCAACATTTTTGGCCCTGTTTCTTGCTGGTCACTTGCATCATATTGTCCTTGTAACCTCTAGAATATGTAGGCTTTTCCAAAAAACAAACCAACTCTGGGGGTGGTAATACAAATACAAGTAGTGGTAGTAGTCCTAGGTGCTACTACTTCCAGTAAAAATATAAATTGCTAGTACTAGTAGTAGTACTAGCTGAGTTAGATTTGGTGGGTGGGTTCTAGGTTGTATTTTGAAATTACAGTAAGTAGGATCTTACTTATTGAACTTCTATGACATGGATGACAGAGTCTTTTGAGAAATTCTTTCCCTCTGATAGAAACAAAGTTGATGGAAACTTGGACTTCTCCCTGTMCCTTTACCAGCCATAACAAACCAAAAGGAAGACACAGGGATACAAGAAATTCAACATGATGGCCTGTTACTAGTAGATAGTAGTGAGAAATGCTTTGTTGGTTCAGATTTTTCACTAATAGAAGATCCAACATCCACAGAGAGCTGCATTTGATGCATGACATTACTATTGATTTCACTCTGGGTGCAAGTTTCTGAAGAACTCACCAGCATGAACAATCAATCTACACAAGGAACTGCTGCTGTAGACCAAGAACCTAGGACAGTGGTGAGCATCTCAACCAAAGAAATCCTTGCAATCTACTATGTTGCAGCACAATTGGAGAACCATGCACATTCTTGTTCAGTGAAGAACATTCACTTTGCTAGGGAGAAAGGCTTGACTTTCATCATTGGTGCCTTTTTGTCCTTCCTGTCCAGCAATGACAGGATCTGGTGAATATGTTGCAAAACAACTTATATCCACTATAAGGGTTACACAATAGCACCGGTTTAGATCAGTACTATGGTGGCTTACCAAAAGACAGAGTGACTGTACTACCAACCATTGTTACAGGTCATAGATTGCACTTTTTTTTTCAATCTTGTCAATACTAGGAGACAGCAAAAGAACCCAGCACTAGACAGTCAAGCTAGCATCTTCTCAAGTAGAATAATCAATACTAGACAAGAAGAAGGAACAACAAGAATGACCAGTAGTATCACCCAAACAGATGCTGAAATGGGGGATGTAGTAATAAAATTAACATTTTTTCCTAGGTTCAAGGACAACTTTGTGTTGCACAAATTTGGAGACTTGATTATCATTGTCATGGGCATTCTTTGTATACAGAAAACAGGCAGCAAGCAGAACTGCTGCGACTAAAAAGCATGTAGCTAATGTCTACTCCATGTTAAAAAAGAGAAAGAAAGTTCCAAAGTGAAATGGTTCATTTATAAAGTCAGATATAACTTCTATGAAAGAATAAAACAATCAGGTGAAGCACATTGCATAGCTCTACTTTACAGGATCATATTTCAAGGGATAACTTTCAGTAGGTTTATTCAAAATCAGTTACCAAAGCTACTGTGCTTACAAAACCATCACTCTCTCATACTATATGGGGCTCTTTCTGGTGGTTCCAGGATATCCATGAGTCTATCTTTCATCCATCCTGTTTCATCATTCACAGATATTAATTAAAGCATTAAGGACCTTGAATAATGTGCCAAAATGTCCATTCTGATATCTAAAGAAGCTATCAGTAGCTGTGCAGATAAAATTCATAGCCAGCAACAATACACTGTGTGTTCTCAAGATTTTTTCAATTTTTTTACAGTCCCTGGGGCACTGTTGATGCACGAGATTACGTGTACTTAGTGGGTGTTTAAGTGTGTATAAAAAAATTGAATTATAAGATTAAGATTACCGAGCGCGTTCACGAGAATTCCGAAGTTCCGATTAGAACCTCGTGTAGACCTGGTAGGGAATCCACACGAGAGTTCTCTATTCCGGACTCGTGACACCTCTATTCTTCGTGAGGTATTCTCAAATAGTATCTTAGACCTCTCACGATCCTCAACTGAGGGATCGTATGATACATATATATGAATAGTATATTATGATGTGTAGGTAGGAATGGTATGCTCTTCCATTCCGAGGGAGCATCGTATGTACGTATGCTTCCTTTTATACGTGCGTACGTATACTTTCGATATTGTACGTACGTATCCATTGCATTGTCCCGGACAGTAATATTGCTTATATATTACTGCAATATTACTCACTACTAAACTGTAGCGATCATATCTTCAATATTTTCAGCCGGGGGCTCTTTTTCTGCAATAGGGTCTTCAGGAGCTCCCTTATACGGCACAAGCTTCCGAATATTTACAGTCTCACGTACGTTGTCACTTCTTTGTAGTACCACAGTTCCGTTTGTGTTGATCTCTACAATGGGATAAGGACCATGTAACCTTTGGGACAGCTTGTCTGGTTCATAGAATTTCATATAGGCTTGCTGTCCAACCTGATACTTAAAGGGTATCCGCCTAGCATTTTCTCTCCTGAGATTCTCATCGATTTGGTGTTGTCTTTTATCTCTGATAAGATTCAAATCCGCAATTAGGGGAATGTCCATCACCATGTCTCTGTTGAAGACTAAGGCTCCTGGTGATGTCTTCACTGCTGCATTCACTGCACACCTGGTAGCATGCATTGCAGTGGCAAGTGCATTGTCGAYTATCTGWTCTTCATCAAACTCATCCTCGGGCGGCMTTGAGTGCAGGGTAGCTCTCAATACGTTTGCAATTGTCTGATGCGCTCTTTCACAAACTGCATTTGCTTGTGGATTCTTGACAGTAGTTTGGACACTCTTTATTCCATACTGATTCAATAACTGTTTGAACTCAGTTCCAATAAATTCTTTGCCATTGTCATGAATACATCTATTGGGTCGTGGGTATCGTGATAACCAACAGTTGGAAAACTGCTCCGCTATATGTTTACTTGATTTGTTGTTGATTCTGATGATTTCCAATAGGTTTGTGACTGGATCAATGCAGGTAAGTGCATTGATCACTAATTCAGTCTCGTCAGGGAGAAGGATCTTCCAAGGACCAATCAAGTCCACACATACTTCATTCCAAGGGACAAGCTGAGCCTCACGAGCTGGTAGTAATCCATGTCCTTGGCCTTGTTGCTTGAACCTGTGACACTCGTCTGGACAGTTATACTGTTTGCACTTTAGNTTACTTGATTTGTTGTTGATTCTGATGATTTCCAATAGGTTTGTGACTGGATCAATGCAGGTAAGTGCATTGATCACTAATTCAGTCTCGTCAGGGAGAAGGATCTTCCAAGGACCAATCAAGTCCACACATACTTCATTCCAAGGGACAAGCTGAGCCTCACGAGCTGGTAGTAATCCATGTCCTTGGCCTTGTTGCTTGAATCTGTGACTAACTCAAAGGTTCCTATCTTTCTCTTGATGTAATGCGCTGGGTCTGTTTCAAGTAGGTGTTGACACTGGGGGTMCGTGAGTTGGTAAGTATAAAGGCTTGCATTTGTAATTGGATTCTCCATTTCTGAGACCGGTGGTAGATTGAGCAAACATTCATGTAGTTCAGGTTCCAAGTAGAATACATCCTCTGGATCCACCTCAGCTGCCAATTCCTTGAAATTCACCATTGTTCCTTTCTTCTTTTCATAGATTTTCTTCTCTTTATCCCCCACTGTGCACGGATCCATTCTGGGCACACGAGAGAAACAATCGGCAAGAACATTTTTCTTGCCTTCAATATATTTCCATKTGATATCAAAGCCTTCTAGGCTGAGTTTCCACCGGAGAACCCGGGATTGAGACAGGGTCCGGAAGATAAGATTTTTATGATCAGTGTAGATGATGATTTGGCCACCGTAGAGCATGTTTCTATACTCTTTGAAGCACAGGATGATGGCTAGAAGCTCCTTCTCCATCGTGGTGTAGTTCATTTGGGTCTTGGTGAGCTTCTTTGACCAATATGCAATTGGTTTGTGATTTTGTAAGATTGCAGCTCCGAGCTGATAATCAGAAGCGTCCGTGTAAATGTGAAAGGGCTTGTTCAGATCAGCAAAGGTGTTGATCGCATCATGAGCAAGGAGAGATTTCATCTCTTGAAAGGCTTGATTACATGCTGGCGTCCATACATAAGGTCCTGAGCCAGTGAGTRCAGTGAGGGGGGCCAGTACGTGTGATCTTCTAGGCCACATGGATTTGTAATAGTTCACTGCACCAAGGAAAGAGCGGANTTTTCATCCGAGGATCGTAAGAGGTCTAAGATACTATTCAAGAATACCTCACGAAGAACAGAGATGTCACGAGTCTGGAATAGAGAAGCTTCATGCAGAATCCCTACCAGGTCTACATGAGCTTCTGATCAGAACTTCGGAATTCTCGTGAACGCGCTTGGTAATCTTAATCTTATAATTTCAGTTTTCATACACACTTAACACCTACTAAGTACACGTAATCTCGTGCAAAAACACCCTTATCACGCCCCCTAGCATATCTGCAAAGCCCTAGTGTACACAGTAGTGTTTGAATGTTAGTATCAATGACTGTTTGAATGTGTTATCGATAGATTAACACTACACTAACTGCATTATTGCACGTATGATTTCGTTAAATCATTGAAAGGAATAATCATGTCATACAAATGCCAACTACTTCTTATTGCTACCGGTTTCGTCCTTTTCATTTGAGTGTCCCTCTGAATGGTTTTCCATGATTTTATCCATTTCAGCATCTCTTCCTTCGCTCTCAAATTTGACCAATTTATTGGTTTCGATCCAGTTGATAAGTTCCTGAACTGTGAAAACACCATCCTTATTTTCGTCCTGAAATAGGGAAAGTTCTCAAAATATTAGGAACATGATAATTTAGAATTGCACCATATGTTCTCTGGATTCGTGAATTAATATATTGAAACTCACCATTTCATCAGCAATTTCTAGTGCCTCTTCAAACGACAAATCTTTGAGAACCTGACTCAGCACACTGGCCATTTCTTCTCGTGACAATATGCCATCCATATCTTTATCGAGATAATGCAACTTATCGCCAATTTTTACTTGAACATCAGAAAGTTGGACTTCAATCTTGTCAACCATCGACTCGATTCTCTTTTTTAACCGCGCAACAACCGGATCTTCAGGCTTTTCATTGACAACCTCTTCTGCAACGTCCCCATTGACAATGTCTACTCTATCACTTTCCGGATGGCGGCCGGCAGTGTTGAGTTCTGTTGTAAACGACGTGTGCTTATCAGCCTCTTTTGCGGCTTCCATTTCTAGTTTTTCGATGATCGAGGAAGCCACCTTGTCGCTATCATACATCTCTAGAGTAGAGGTGTCACCAGGTGATGCAGCTATCCTATCATCGTGTCCTTCGGCTTTTGTTTCCGGTTCATCTTCCTCTCGCATCGCCTGCTTGATACGATCAAGATGCTCTCTCTCCTTCACAACCGGATCTGCAGATAACAACTGGGAAATGGATTCCATCTCTTCCGGTGAAAGTTCACGTTCGCCCATTTCAATTTCTGCAGCTTTTGTCTTTAAATCCGCTTGTAATTCATCTACTTTCACATCTATCGCATCTAATATCTCCTCCTTATTAATCGTTTCTACATCAGCAGTCTGTGTTGCACGCCCTTCAGCAATATTTTCTTTTCCAATCTGTGCAGTTTTTGTTTGAGGTTCTTCTTTTTCGGTTGTATCCTTTTTCTTCTTTGCATCTCTCTCTTCTCGTTCCTCTTTGATCTTCTCGTTCTGCTGCTTGACAACTTCAAGTTGAATTTTACGGACGTCCGGATCTGATTTCAATTCCTTCGATGTTGCAACCTGCAGAATGACCTCGTTGAGAACTTCTTTGTCCATTCCACTGATAGCATCAGCAAGACCTGTAACACTGTGGGTTTCGTCACTAGCGACTGCTGTGCCTGGCGATGTGATTTCTTCTTGCAAAAAGAAAGTGCGGCTCATAATGAGGAGAGATATTGGAACATTCTTATGCACACTCAGATCTAACCACTGCTGGAGAGATTGTTTATATGCTTCTTTGCTCAATCCTGTTGATCTCATCCCGCGTTCTTGGCATGCTTCACGCAATTCCATCTTCGTCAATGAGTCAATGCCTTCCCACAAAATACGTTGATCGTCCTCTTTCAGCATTCTTATTCTGTGCCGTAATTGGAAACGCAAAAAAGGATCCGACCCGTACGGAGGAATTGACATGTATTTGCACATGTTTATGAGTTGCATCCTTGGCATATTGTCCAGGGTTAGATCATCTTGGAAAAACTCCGCATACTGAATGATGGCATCAGGTGGTACCATTTCTCCCTTCCTGGCGCGATCCAAGAAATTCAACATATCGGATGCAGAGGCCTCTTGTTTGCTAGCAAAGGAATCCGCAGATTCGTCTTCCCCATCTTTTTGCTTCGCGGCTATTCTTTTTTGTTCCTTTGCTAATCGTTCCATGGTTCTATACAAGACAGATGGACGGAGAATCAATGGATAAGACGACGGGTTGACTAGATAGCAAAACACGAAACATACTTCACGCTACTGATCACGAGTATTGAAGGAAAAAAACGTTGAAAGGACGATTCAAACAACTTACTCTTGAAAGAACTCGGCCATCGCAATGCGGGATTGCAATTCTCTTTTCATATTCTCTTCGTTCTTGAGAGAATCTTGGAACGTACTAGGAAGCATGTTTGGAAATATTTTGAGAGCGAACGGTAGAGCGAATTCCATGAATGGGATAATGAGAAACATCGACATCGGAACCAACCGGAACAAGTCGGACACGGTTCGAAGGAGTTGTTTTCGTTCTCGCCGTGTCAGCGTAGATCCCTGTAGCGTTCTCCTTAATAAAGCCCGAGCCGTTTTGACGTCGGCCATGAGAAGCTGTTTTGATTGTTCGCATTTTTATCCACCCAACAATCATTTTGCGATAAGTGAGTGTCAAGTGAACGAAGCAAATTGCTCTTTCGTCTCAGAAAAAGGACTAGGTAGTTTGAATCTTCTCGCAGCTGGTTCATCATATTTCATAAATACATACATGAACGGCAGAGCATGACGTACATACATTGGTTGCGTGATAATGTAACTAGCAAACTCACCTTGATTCCTATCCAGTAATGATCCACTTCTTTCTTGATAGATTCCTTAATTTTGCTGGTTTTTTCTCTTCGTTCTGTTGGATGAGTGGCATAGAACACAATATTTCCTGGTAGTTTTATCATAAATTTCACCAATGCCTTTGTCACGTAGATTGTCATGTCCACCGACCCCTTTCCGATCGCCTTCACGTCAATCGAGGCAAGAGGGTTCATTGACGTTGAAACAGTAGGGGAGGATTTTGGGATTGGAATTTTGGCCTGTCTAGAGTAGCCTGGAATCTTTGTTTGGGACTTTTCCAGCTTTTTCGTTGTTGATCCCGACGACGGAGGCGATGTCGACAGAAAGGCTCTTACTTCGTATTGGGGAAACAAATGGTTCAACTCTGATCCTTTGTTGTATTTACTGCTTCCGTTATGATTCAACAGAAATTGATGATACGTCATTGATGTAATCTGCAACTGAGATTCCAGCTTACGTTGGGTTTGTTTGATGGGAAAATTGCAGTTAATTCTTCTTCTCGATGACAAACAAAATGGTGATGAAGGCGACGACGGAATCGAGAGAGATAATATTTGGTCTCTTGACGAACTGTTATTTTTTGTCGAAGCGGAGGACGATGCGTGGGATTTTGCATCTATACAAATCCAAATACTAGTGGCTGGAGCCACACTCCCCGTTCTTCTCCACGAAGAAGAAGCCAGCAGACCATTTTTCGGTCCATTGTTCATAACTCGGCGGCGTCCGTCACTCTCGACTACTTTCCTGACGGCTGCCGCAGTTGCCAACATAATCGTCTTGTTCTTGCTCTCTGTCTTTTTTCTGCAAATCTACCACTCAGTTGTCTGATTTTCTATCGTCTATCAATCCATGCCTATTGTACGGTACGTCTCGTGGAAAATATTGCAACGCAATCGCAACCTGTTTCTCTTCACGACGTTTCTTCTGATGCAAGACATTTTATGAGAGTGTTGTGAGCGACGGACAGACGCAAGACGACGAAGACCCCAAAACTTTCTAACTACGAGGTTGTGGTGTTAAATATCGCGTTCGATTTATAACAGGTTATGAGTCAAACTTTTGCGAGCCATTTTTAGTAACCAGCAGCAAGCTTTGCTTGCTTGTTAGTGCTACCAAAGCACCAATCAGATTTAGAGAATCCATGGGCTGCACTGGAAAATGTTTTCTTTCCTCTTTTGCACGAGATTACGTGTACTTAGTAGGTGTTTAAGTGTGTATGAAAAAATTGAATTATATGATTAAGATTATTGAGCGCGTTCAC